GTTCTGAATTGAATTAGTTCGATTTTAGGTCTGTTCGAATTTGAAAACGTTCGAATTCGTCGTACCCCCATCTCATTAAATACGATGATCTCCAAGTGGCGCCAAAACACCACGCCGCACTTGCAAAGCGATGGGCGGAGCGTCGGTGGGGGGAGGCGGGAATCAAAGTACGCAAACACCGAGTCTCACTTTTTTTATTCCGACAATAAACCACATTAAATTTTAATAAAGACCCAAATTTCCAATTTTCCCCGAACTCACTTATAAATTGGTGGCCATGGATTCGATGGATTTCCACCTGGGGGATAGAATGGGGAGACTCCGAGTCTCGACGATGTTCCGTCTTTTCCGATAATCGGAATTTTCCCAACGAACGGAATATTGTCATAGGAGACGTCTACGTAGCTGTAGGGAGCTGAAAAAGGTTGGTTGCAATTGAAGTTTGTATTTTTAACATGGTGGCCTAACTTTTTCAAGTTGAGTTTTCTAGGCTACCATGGGAAATGGTCCAATATTACCTTGGTGTATTTTCTAGGTCATTTTAACATGATGGCCTAACTTATGAGTTTTCTAGGCCACCATGAGAAATGTCCTAGAAATGAGCTGAAATTCACCTAGTGTGGAAAGAAGCCATTTCTAAGCCATTTTCACATGGTGGCCTAACTTTTGAATTTTCTAGGCCATCATTGAAAAGCCGTTTTTCAAAAAATCAAAAACTTTTCCTCACTATAAACTCCCAATCCTGGTCCGTAGGCGGTGATCGCATTGATGTATTCCTTCACGAGAACCCCATCCGATCTTTCGAGGAGACCCAGAGATGGCAGAACTGGTGCCTGCTGTGTTGGTGAAACAAAACACACAAATATAAAGAGTAGAAGCTTCATCATTTGTTTTTGTTGTTTTTTTTTTGTTTCTGGAAAATCGGAAATAGAAAAAAAATTAGGGAAAAGAAGATAGGAAAAGCATTTCAAGATGTGTTTCGATGTATTTGAAGTTAAAATTGTAAGGGTTTTTGAAGTTTCTAGAGCCTAGAAATCCAAAATTTTGAAATTCTAGGTCATGGCCTAGGAACCCAGAAAAATGTATTTCTATGACAATTTTCATTTTTTTGAATCCAGCCACCATAAATACAATCTAGAAATTGGCCTAGAATCTTCATAGCTGGAATTCTAGGCCAAGAAAAGTGGCTTAGAAGTTTTAATATTTGGATTTTAGGCCCATAAATTCTGTGAAAATTAGAAAAAAATTCTAAACTTTCTAAAATTCTAAACTTTCTAAAACTCTAAAAATTTCAATTCTGGAAATCCTAATAGTTTGAAAAATTCCGGAGTTTTTTCTGCGATTTTTCGAGAGAAAACTGAATTTTTTCTGGGATTTTTTTGCAAAATTTTTAGACCTTTTAGGGTTTCTCATCTATTTTTGAAGATTTTTTTCGATTTTTTCGAATTTTTTGTCTGAAATTTCACGGGGTGTTGGTGAAGATTACTGTAGACTACTGTAGAAAACCTTGTATTTTGTAGTTTTTGTAGTCAGTTTTTTTAAACCGCATTTTTGCACGCCATGGCGCCATGGCGTGGTTTCGTTTACAAAAAAAACTACAAAAGAAAATTTGTTGTCTCCAGTAACCTACAGTAACCTTCCGGTCAAAAACACCATCCCGTCAAATTTCAGACAAAAAAAAATCGGAAAAATCAAAAAAGAATCTTTGAAGACCGCTGAAAAACCAAAAAAGGTCTAAAAATTTTGCAAAAAAAAATCGAAGAAAAAATGAAGATTTCTCTCGAAGAATTTCTAAAAAATCGCTAATTTCTCGAATTTTTCAAAATCTCAGGTATTTCAGAATTAAAATTTTTTCGAATTTAAAAAAGTTATGAATTTTTGAAAATTACAGAATTTCCAATTCCCACAGAATTCAACAGCCTAAAAATCCAAAAATTAGAACTTCTAGGCTGCAGTTCTTGAAGGCCTAGAATGCCAGCTATGGAGATTCTAGGCCAAGTTCGATTATTTTGAGTCTCTGGATTCAAATAAATGAAAAGTGGCCTAGAATCTCTATTACTTGGGTTCCTAGGCCATGACCTAAAATTTCAAATGTTTAGAGATAAGAACCACAAGAAATCCAGAATTCCAATATCTAGGTCGTTTATGAATAAATCAAAAAATGAGGGTTTCATGCGGGTAGCGGTATACCCGCCCGTACCCGCAGCTACCCGTACACGCCCGTACCCGTACCCGCTTGATACCCGGAACTTTTTGTGTTTGCAGACAATTCGCGCAACTTGCCGACAATTCGCGCGCATTTTCGGTTTCTTTCCGAAACAAATTCGTCCATTTTTACTGGCTGATGAATTTTTATACCTGAATTATTTTTTATTTTCACTTTAAAACTTTTTTCGACATCAAAAAGCGACAAAAAGTGTCAACAAATCATTTAAAAAATATTTCAATCGAAGTGTCGGCAAGTTGCGCGCATTGTCTGCAAACACAAAAAGTTCCGGGTAGCAAGCGCGCGGGTAGCGGGCGGGTACGGGTACAAGCGGGTAGCAGCTACCCGTTCGCTTACCGCCCGTCATGGAAAGCCTAAAAAAATGGAATTTTCTGGAAAAATTGATAAAACGAAATCAAATGACAATATCAAAAAGGCTTCTCCGTTAGCCTATACAAGGCTAATATATGTTCCAAAAAGAAATAGAAAGAGATAAAACCAGATTCTTGAAGGAGGCGATTCTTCTTCTTTTTCTTCTTTTGAATGTTTTAGAAGATTCGGGAAGAAACAGAAAGAGAGAGAAAGAAGCAGAAGAAAATCACGGATAGTGGGTGATGATCGGAGAAAACAGATGCAGCTGAATGAGAAAAAGAGATGAGAAAATACACAAAAAACACATGGAATTGGGAATTTTATCTGTTATTTTTTTTTGTTTTTAGAGAAATTCGAAAAAGTGGAGAAGAGGAAAGGATATCGGATTTCTTGAGGGGAGATGAGCAATGCTTTATTTCGTGGTGAGCAGGTTTTAGGGAGCTATTAGAGATTTGGGAGGATTTGGGGGATTCTTGGGATTCCGAGAAGGCAAGATTCTGAAAATAGCCGGAAAATCTGAAAGTTTAAAATTTTATTGGAATTTCAAAATTTCAAAGAATCAAGATTCTGAAAATAGCAGAACTTCGGAGAATCCGAAATTCCGAAAATCTGAAATTTTTAAAAAATCTGAAGTTCAACGGTGTTCTGGAATCTTGAGACTTCCGTTTTATGGATTAGGGATTCTGAAAAATTCTGATTTTTTTCAAAAAAAATTAGTTTTTCCGGATTTTGATTTTTTTTGAAATTCTTGAAATTTTGAGATTTTGAAAAATCTGAAATCGATGATTTTCTGAAATTTTCAGATTTTCGATGCTGCGATTTAACGTTTTCGGAATATTCTGAAATTCTGAAATCTTTAAATTTTGTGATTCTGAGATTTTTAGATTCTGGGATTCCGAAAATATAAAATTCTAAGATTCTGAAACCTTGAGAATTCGGAAATCTCGCAATTCTGAGATTCTGAGATCCTAGGATTCTGGAATCTCGAATTCTAAAATTCTGGGATTCTTTCTTCCTTGGAATTCAAAAATGATAAAAAAAACGTCAGTTTCAGAATCTAAAACAATGAAACCCATAAATTCTGTAGAAATTGGAAATTCTGCAATTTCCAAATATTCTGAACTTTTTGAAATTCGAAAAATTTTAATTCTGGAAATCTTGAGATTTTGAAGATTTGTTTGGCAGTTTTTGAGAGAAAATTTGATTGTTTCTCCGATTTTTTGCGAAATTTTTAGACCTTTTTTGGGTTTTCAACTATTTTCAAAGATTCTTTTTCGATTTTTATGAATTTTTGTCTGAAATATTATGCTTGTCTGAGAAAAAAAAGGTTGAGACGCAGAGAAAAAGTGTCTGTTTCTCCACCTTATGTGTGCTATTTAGGCTCTCCGCTTCGATATCGCTACCGTATTCAGACTGCAAAAAATACTCTCTAACCTTTTTTTTTCTCAGACAAGCATAATATGACATGATGGTATTCGCGAGGATTACTGTAGATTACAGTAACAAACTAATTTCTTTCGCAAACACAATCACGTCAAAATGCAGACAAGTTTGTTTGCAAAAAAACTACAAATAACAAGGTTTTCTACAGTAATCTACAGTAATCTTCCGTCAAGAAAACTCAAATTTCAGACAAAAAATTCAGAAAAATCGAAAAAGAATTTTCAAAAGTAGCTGAAAAACCTAAAAAATCTAAAAATTGTGCAAAAAATTTTCTCTCGAAAAATTGCAAAAAAATCTATAGTTTTTCGGAGTTTCAAACTTTTAAATTTTGAGATTCTTGCTTTTTTTAGATTCTGAAATTCTCAGAAAATGTAAAATTCTGTATATCGAAAATTTTGGATTCTGAATTTATAAAGGTTGTAAAAATTCCGAAATTTCAAAATTCGAATTTCAGGTTTCCAAAATTTTTAGAAGCTTAAAATCTTGGAATTGCAGAATTTCAAGTTCTAAAAATTCTAATTCTTTAAAAATTGGAATTGTTAAATTCTGAAATTCCAAAATTTTCAGACATCTCGGATTCTAGTGGTCATTGCTTGTGCTCTTCTCGTTTACAGTTTCGTGTCGTTGGATGGAAAATCAGATGCACCTGAAAATCATGAAAACGAAAAAGCAAAAACTGATGAAAAATCGAGAAAAGGTCTGAAATTCTCTAATTTCCAATTTCCCCGATTACTGTACTTTTTCCAGATCCCCGCCTAGTCTTCATGGTCATCGATGCCTTCCGTCTCTCCTTTCTAACCTCCCCCGATTCTCCAATGTCCTTCACAAAATCCTCTCTAAGCTCCGCCCCCAATCCAGCAATCCTTTTTGATGCCTATGCCCGAATGCCTACAGTAACCCTGCCACGTATCACCGCCTATATCACAGGCACTCTCCCCTCGTTTGGGACGATTCTAACGAATCTGGCGACTGATGAGATAAAAATCGATAATTGGATTTCTCGATTGAGCAATGCCGGCAAGCGGATTCACTTTTTTGGCGACGACACGTGGATTCGACTGTTGCCCGGGAAATTTGAAAAATCAGAAGGCGTTACCTCGTTTTTCGTGAACGACTACACGGAGGTAGATCAAAATGTGACAAGGAATCTGGATTCGGAGCTTCTAGAAGCTTCTGAGAGTCCCTGGGATGTTCTAATTCTCCACTATCTCGGCCTCGACCATATCGGCCATTCGCTAGGTGGAAATTCGCCGAAGATTCCGGAAAAATTGAAAGAAATGGATAAAATTGTAAAAAGGATTTTCGAATTTTTGAGTTCCGAAAGTTCCCAAGAATCCTATTTGATCGTTTGTGGAGATCATGGCATGACATCTGCCGGCTCTCATGGCGGAGCGAGTCCCGATGAGACACGCGTCCCAGTGATCATTTGGAAAATTGGAGACCAAAAAATCGATAATCGATTCACAGAACCACCCAGAATCGAGCAAATCGACTTGTCGGCCACAATCTTTGACCTATTCAATTTGAATTTCCCGCCTGAGTCCTACGGTATCTCGCTGGCCCACTATTTTCGTGGCGAAACCCAGGAAGGGCTGAGAAAGCAACATGAGCATTTCAAAGCGCTGGTGAAAGGTTAGGCTCCGCCCATTTTTGAAAAAATCGAACATTTTAGAACTTTTTTTTGTAGAAAAACAGCTTGGAACATCTGACATTTGCGAATCTAGCTGCGATTATTCGGATATTTTTGTGAAAAATTCGCTGAAAAAATGGTTCCGAAGCGTTCAGGACGAGCTGATCGGCACGGCTTCGGAAATTCCGACGGCGTCGATTTGGATTTGTGTTTTTATCTTGGCGGTGGTAAGTTTAACGGAGCGCATTTTCAACATTGAAGTTTTAAACCTTTCTAGGCCACAATCTTGTCTACTGCTTCCCAAGGCAACTACCCAAATCTACTGATTCTACTGATAAACCTTATCAATTTCGCGAGTAGCTTAATCGAGGAGGAGCACGAAGTTTGGTACTTCTTGGGGAGCACCGCTGTGGCAATTAGATTGATTCTATGCATCGAAAAAAGAGAATTCGCAAAGGCACGACTAGCTCTTGTACTCGGAATTCTTCATAGAATCTCGTTTGGATACATGCAAAGCACCCGACGGAGATGGGAAATGGACCCTAATCTCCTTCCGCAACCCTTTTTTTCTGACTTTTTCGATAAAGAAGAAGTTATGGATTTAAATGAGTTTTTCAAGTGAGATCCATGGTTTCTGAATTTATTCTAAAATATATATTTCCAGAGACAAAGCAGCCTTTGCTATTGCAATACCCCTTCTACTTTGCGCTGATAATAAGCAAAAAGTTTTGATTGTGACTCCTATACTAGCTCAATCTTTTGAATACCTTGGGTAATTAAAAATTACAAAAAACCATTTCCTTTTCTTTCCTTTCAGAACCCCTTCATTCTTCCACAATTTCATTCGATTCTCTGTGTTTCCCATATATTATCTCACCGATTCCCCACTACACGCAGTAGCTCCATGGATCCTCCTCCTGGCTCCAGAATCTCAATTGCCCTTGTGTCTTCTCGCTTTCCTAATTGGTCTATGCACAAGAATATTGAAACTTGGGGATGTGGAAAGCTTGATCTTCTGCATGTCGAGCTTCTTTTATTTCGTAAGAAACTTTTCTAATTTTTTTAAATCTTTATACTTTTCTTCAGGGAAACTCCAATAGTCTATCCACTCTATCCCTAACTTCTGCCTACATCGGACTTCAAGATTACTATCCGATTTTGGTTGGAATTCAGCTGATTCTCTACACTTTTGCCGGCCCGATATTTTTCTTTTTGGGAAGGTTTGTAAAAAAAGTTTTCTCTAAAAATTTGTAAGTTCCAGATATCTCTTAACTTCCAAGCCACCTCCACGAGATCGAACAGGATTGAAACTGATTTTTGGTTTTATAGAAAGGTTTTGTAGTTTTAATGCTTTTTGAAAATCGTAACGAGCGAATTTTTACAGTTGAAAAGAATTTTCAGCAACGTAAATATGATTTCTATCTGAAAAAACTGCAAATTGACCGGAAATCAGTCGAAAAACGATCGAAAAATCACCGCTTTGTCTGAAATTATGAGAGCCGCGACGCGTCTGAAATTTTTAAATTTCGGAGCGGAACTCAAAATGTTCAAATTTCCACAGACTCTTCCGCGTTTTTAGATAAATTTTATGAGATTTCCAACTCTTCCTGGATGATTTCTAGCCGGACGCGCTCTCCCACAGAACATTTCCGAACTGCAAATTAATTTTTGATCTACAGAAAAAAAAGTTTGGCGCGATCAAAATTGCAGGTCTAAAACCATAATTTCAGAATTTTTTATCTGATTTTGTAGAGTTCCAAAATGATTCAAATGATTCTTAAAAAATTAATTAGTGGTTGTAGATTCATGTATGGTTCTTTTCCAGAAGAAAAAATGTCAAAAATGACCATTTTTGAAAGTTTTTTACAGAAAA